TGCTAGAAATGAGAAAACTGTGCCGTAGGAAGGTAAACTGTGTTTAGAAACTTGAGCATTTTCTTTAAAAGATACCGTGCTGAGAGAGTGTGCTCTGGCCAATCAGCAGTCTTATTTGTTATGACATCACAGATTGACTGGCGTGGTTGAGTGCTTCCTGGTCATACCTTCTATCCTACCCAAGGGGAGACGTTAACTAGGGAAAGTTATTAATATAATGATTTGATGATTTTGACCAATCACGCGTCTGCTTGTTTAGTTATTTCCACGGCTCTTATGAAGGAGGTGATGGACCTGACTTCCTTCTGAGCACACAAATGAATTTTTTGGCACAAAATGTTTGACAGCACTGAAAATACAGAGCTCACAAAACTGTGTTGAAGAAAGGAAATGTAATTTCCGGAAGATTCATGTATGTCTTTGAAATTTACCAGCTTCATTGCGCGACAACGTCATGCTGGCGGTCTTGGTTTTAATCAGGCTGGGGGGCTCTCGTGGGAGCTTGTTCTCTTTCATGATGTTGGCTACTTCTGCAATCAGCAGGTTGGTCTGTGACACGACAGAATGGGCCTTGGAAACAAAGCAGAATTGAAACCAGTGAAATAAAAGAAATCTAGGAACAAGAAGAGGATGTACCTGTGTTAACATCAAAGATCGTATAGCGCCAAAGGCGCAAGATGGATAACTCTGCCCAAAAGATGTAATTACCATGGGCGCCATTTGAGCAAGCAATATGCCTGCACAGTTTACGGTAATGCTTAGGCACAGGCTCACCAGGTGCACGTGCCTGCTGCAGCGCCTGCCCCTTTGCATTAATGTGCATTGTGCAGGCATATCGCTTGCTCAAATGGCGCCTATGCGATTACAACGTTTTACGTATATTTAAGGAGAAGTTCGCCATCTTGCACCACGTCGCAGCGCTACACGATCTTTGGTTAACATGGAGGATATTTTAACACTTTCCAGCAAACTCTGGGGTAAGCTCGGGCGACAACTATAGTTAACTGTGGTTTGGCAGACATCGCCCTACCGATGGATAGTTTGGACCATGTAATCAATCTTTGGAACCAGGCTGATTAGGGCTTGGCCACTCTGCTGGTTATCAATAGCCAATACAATGTGTCAGAACAGAGGGAACCAATCTGTGACAATAACTAAACAAGATGTCATGCATGCCGTGAGAGATGCAGCTAACACTCAAAACGTGAGTGAGGAAGAAATTTTACAAAATAATTCAATAGAGCTGTTTGAGTGAGACTGTTTTTCAATTGTTAAAAAGCCGTTTAACGAGTGGTCGAACTATACATGTATTTCAAGCCTGAATTTGCCCCTGCAAGAAGTACCGGATGAGCTCTACACTGGTCCCCATGCCCGAGTAATTCCCACTAAGTTTGAACCAAGACAGTAGTGGAGTCATTAGTGCAATGAACCAGTCAGTATTTGGGGCCAAAAATAACACCAAGTTCATTGTGGAATTATACAATTGGGTAAGGGGCAAAGCAGCTTAATTTGCAAATCAAAATCATGGAATAAAATACATAAACGGCACTGATACCTTTTTCTCTTTTTCCTCTTTGAGTTTCTCGGTGACAGTGTTTTCTGTAGTCAGACGAGACATGTCTGTAAAAAGGATGTCGGTACAAATATCAATTCATCTATTCCTTTTGACAATGATAACTAACCAAGTGGATTCCGAAAGACATATAATGTATGCACATAAATCATCACTGTGAAGTGCACCAGAAGCTTGTGTGAAGATGTTGAGGCATTTTATGCACATTCAGATGAAACGTGGTCAAACATATTTGACACTGTAATCAAGTGAACAAGTGCTTTACACACAAAGTCTTGCATACACTCTTACAAGAAGGCTGCACAACCTATCCACCCACTTGTTTAAGAATTGTTGTGATATTTTTTGCTAATTTTACTTGGTTTGAGTTTGTTTTGCACCACCGCCATGTTATAAATTGTCTGTACTATTAGTTTTATAATTATCATCTACCCTTCCCCCACTGATAAGTAAAACAACTTGATAGCCCAAATATCCAAAACCTTTGGCAAAGGCAGATTCAACTCACCTTCTGATTGGACGATTTCCCTCTGGATATCTTGATTCAGTGAGGAGAACCCTCCGACTGAGCCTGCCTCCTCAAACTGGTCCAGCAGCCACAGGGGCTCATCGATGGTCTTTGCCGAGCCCTGGAGTCAACAGGAAATGAGATGAATGTTAAAGACAAATGCAATGCAGTAAAACAGAAGTGTGTTTGAACAGACACCATGTCAGTGGCGTAACACGGGGGCAGGAGGGCATCCCCCGCCCAGCTAGAGGAGTGTGCCCCCCCTCCTCTGTGTCCCCCCCCTCCCACATGTGCCGGTCCCCCTTCAGAAAATAGAGGAAAAAAATCTTGTGTCAATCCGCCTTGGTCATTGTTCTGTCACGGAACCCACTGATCACGAGGGCCCCCATAGCCTGAAAAGAAGCCCCCTAAATGCTTAGGGGGCTTCTTTTAACCTCTATTATGCCTCTGCTATTAACAGTTGATCATGGTATCTAAGGCATACATTGAAAAATGTGTACTTATGACAATCTGGATTAGGTTGAAAAATAAACCAACGCGGCAATCATAACCATAAGCCATAGCTGAATTGGTACAATTCTCGCACAGTTCATAATGCATAAAAACAGCCTCTAATTCTACTAACAGAGTATAATTTAGACTCGCACCTTAAGTTTATAACGTGTGTGGCATGTACATGTGTACATGGATCATGCCACCTCAACGACAGCATTTCCTTGGACTTTAGACAGCATGTAAATCGAGAAGATGAGGGACCTAACGTACACGCTTTTATTCTGTGAATTTACATGCCTGGAACTGTTTATCTATGCCAAGTATGTGGCCTGGTTCATAGGTATGCATGTACTGCTGTTTAAAGTCTTGCCATTTTTAAACAGACATATCTTTAAACACATCTTTAAACAGTCATAACCCAGGAATCAAGCCTATGTGTACAGGGTGGCTCCAGTGGTTTCCTGTAGATAAATAAAGCACACTGTCCCAAAGTTCGAGACCTAGTCTCACCAATGGCTCTTCTCAGAGCCAACACTTCCATCTAAGGGATCGGAGTGTCTCATAATTCGGAATGGTCCAAATGTTCCACTCGGAATACTGTGATCTCATTCCAGAACTTTCTCATACTGAGGAAACAGCATTCCAATGGGAACACTGTCTCAGCATTGTCTATACACAAAGCAGACCATGCCTAACTGCTATGTGGGAATGTTCCCATGGAATGCTAGTGTTCTACAGTGGGAATGGGCCAACGATCGTTCCTAACTTTCCAGATGCTCCCTCATAGAGATTGCTTCCATAGTGTATCCATTAGCAATACCACTGCATCCAAAAATTTTCCATGACTCTGACTCAAATCTCAATCCTTTTGCAGGTAACTGTTAATTTGAATAGCACCTTTTTCATCAAATACTTTCCTTTCATTATTACAAGCCGACATGCTCACCCCACAGACTCAAAATACAGAAGCTTGATTCCTAGGCATATAACACACCTTGCAGTGTCTGATGCAGAAAAGAGCTACAACATGAGTGCTGTTCACTGGACACTTAAAAAAATGATATGAAAAAACCAAATAAGCAGGTTTGGGAGGAGATGTCTTACCTCAAGCATGTTGGTGAGACTCTCATATATTGCCACCGACGTCTTTATCAACGTCTTCTGGTCGGTGTCCTTGGCCAGGCGCTTCAGCGTCCGGACCATCTTCCCGCCCAGATTGGTCATAGACGACTAGGAAAATAACGTCGAGTCAAAAATGTTACTACAAAAATAGACCCATGTGTAGAGAGCAATGTTGCTACTCCAAAGGGTGCTGGCTGGTTTGGCTGCACTTTCTGTGTACAAGAAGAAGGCAACACTGCCACATTGGACACCTTGGGACCTGAATTTTTTGGTTTGTCCCTTGAAATAAAAACTGTACATGGATTTTTTTTTTAAATTCAGGAATGTCCAAAATTTGGTAGAACTACACAAAGCTTCAAAAGGACAAACAGTCAAAGTAATGTTTTTTTTGGGGGGGGGATAATGTATGAAATCTACAGTGAATAAATGTTACTGAACTTCCACTTCTCTTTGCATTTTAGGGAACTTTATAAAAAATTTTAACAAGAGAAAAGCAGTTTTAAAAATTCTCAAGTTTTGAAAAAATCTGACTCCACCGAACGCAACAGAATTGCCAAGTGAAAGATGTCTACTGGCATGCGGCTTAATCAAATATTAGCTAGATGCATCTGATTAGTCAAGCGAGTGTCACATTTGGACAAGACAGAAAAATGAATTTCATTGGAATTTTCTGCCGTTTTTCATTAGAAAGAGCATGCACAGGTGAAATTTCAGGTGAGAATTAAAAATTGTAGTCCCACAGCAAACTGAGCATGCACTTACCAGGGCATCGTGGGATAGTTCATCAGTTGCTTCAGTCAGTACTGTTGCAGCCGTTGCACTGTACAGCACATCACCCAGCGAGTCTAGACTTGTCTCAGTCTGCAATTCAGCCATATTCTTTCTCCACTACAAATTACACAGAAAATAAAAATACAATGGATATTGATTTACATGTATGGTTAAAAAAAAACCTTTCTGACAGTGTAGTTGGCCCGAGCTTTTCTTTGTAAGAGACTTCTGCATCTTTGTCCATTTCTAAACTTCTTCATCGGTAACTTCCCCTAGATAAACTGCATTATGTTGCACATCTATACAGACACCGCCCCCCAGAAATGAAGAGTTCACATTTCTCAAAAGTGAACCCCCCCAAAAAAGAATCTTAATAGCATTTTTTCTAGTTTTGTGTTAATACAGAAAGCATGAACTCTTCTTCATTGTGATAAATCCATAACTGTGACACCAATAATCACTGTGTGGGTGGAAGTGTTGGTTTATGGTTCCAATCATTTCTGACTATGCATATGTTATCCAGGCACTTCCCAGCAACACATCCACCATGTACAGGGACTGTACGGTTTTTCAATGGTTCCATGCCAGGTGAAAGGAATGGCCACCGAGTACCAACGCAAATGCAAGGGGTGTATTAGTTCAACATTTGCCAGTTAAGTCAAATGGGCTGTTCAGAAGCTATTGAAGGCTATTAGCCCCGAGCGCAACCAAGAAAGGGCACAATTTTCCTAGCAACAGTCTCCTTTGGTAGGAACTGAGCTTCGCTGGTTCACATACGACTATGAAATGCGTGCATTGCAGTCGTGTAGCTACCAACACAATTGAACACTCCTGACCAACATGGCTCTTTTTAACCAGTGAAGGGGTGCTTCTGTTCAAGGCGGCTACAACAACGACATAAAACAAGCTCTAGGTGACTTACGTCAGATTTTGTTGTCTTGGCCTGCTCGCAAAGTTTTCAAATACCTTTCTGTATTGGAATGGTGCTATCGTGCCATTTGCATTCCTCAAGGCTGACTTACATATGCTCGTTTGGTCCGTCCAGCTTCGTAAAGTCTTGTGTCCATGACATTTTCGGCTGGTGACTCCTGAGAAAAATAATGATGTATTTCACTTATTACCCTCAAATTCCACGGAATGCATGCTCAGATGCATTATTCAATGAAGACACAGTAAGCTTTTAATGTAGTCCAGCTAACAGCACATAAAGGTACCTCGAGCAGCCGCTAAATCACCCACATCTGCCTACATAGCACAGCCAGAGATCCTAAATGTTGAATTTTTTTTGTAGAGGGAGGGAAAAACCAGAAAACCTGGAGAAGAACCTTCGTGGCACAGGAGAGAACCAACGAATAGCTCAAATCAGTCAAGGCCTGGGCTGAAATTGAACCCAGGATCACAATGGTGGGTGGGGGGCAAATTTCCGCAAATTTCAATGCAAAGTTTTGCATTTGTTTCACTTTTGCATTGAAGCACAGCATCAAATCCATTTCATCTTCAGTGAAATTCTCCTGAATTAAGAGGTCTGAAACTTTTGCAAATTTGCAGTGCAATTATATAGTCTTATATCAGAAACTAGCATTTTTGGTCACTTCTGCACTGAACAGGTTTTTAGTCAGTATGCTTTCATCAAAGCAACATGTAGTTCTTATTTTTTAAATAAGTCCATGAAAATGAAAATATGAAAGTGACAAATTGAATGAGAGTAAAGTTAACCTTTGCCTATTTGACAATCATCAAGAACTTGCGTATTACCTCCTCCGATGTGGCATTAGATGCATTAAAAGCCCGCACTAAGGAGAAAAACAAGAGAACATTTTAAACGTAAAGATAAGTACATGTTTGGTCAGGTTCACTTATATTTCCAAATAGGTCACTTGGGAGACATTTTGTGGTAAATTTTTCAGCATTAGGGAGACATCGGTCATTAGGGAGACATTTCAATGTCTCCCTAATGCTCCAACTACCAAAAGGAGGGACATTTTTATAGTCTACATTTTGAGAGATGATAGATTAGGGTCTGAAAGGAAAACATGCAAAGTTTGGTTAAGATCGGATTTGGGAATATTGAATATGGGACGATGAAAAATTTTGTGCACGTTCCTATGGGAATGTCTCCCAAGTGACCCATTTCCGGTAATTATTATTTTTATATGATCATGCAATTTTCCAAAACTGAACTCACAGAAGTGAAACCAGTCACAGCCAAGTGATTTGGACACTGGTGTGTACAGCAGCTCACCTTCGACAGAGCGAATGTCATTCAGCCTGGACGACTCGGTCAGGATGACGTTATTGATGGCTCGGGAGTTCCCTTCAGCGGCCAAAGTCTTGAACCGCCTTTCGGCGTTCACCGTGTTCTCCTCCGACAAGAATTCCGAGGTGCTGATGTTACTTGGTCGTACCTTGAGGACAAAAAGGGATTGTGGGGTGGTTGGAGTTATTAACTTTTGATATATACTGATAATTCACTTCTTATAGCTCTAACCTCACAGCGTATTATGATGCACACAGTACATGACAATATCTGCCATTTAAACGCAACAATATTTTACCACAACCCCTGCTCATTGGGCTTATAACACCTGAACATTACTGAAACCATCTCAATTCCCTAGCCCGAGTACACTAGCCCCATGCTGCCATTCCAAGCGCAAATAGCTCAACCCAATCATCTTATTTACTCTTATCGATTGTTATAATACAGCTGGTTCAAATCCAAACAATATGAAAGTAACACCCAGGTCTCATCAAAGGTGAGTGATGGTAAAGGCCTATTATGGGCCTTGAGCTGGACCAAGAGAGGGTGCTATTTTCTTAGCAATGGAGGCTCCTTGGGTCGGAGCTAAAATTTGCCGGTTCAAGAACAACTAGAAAATGCAAGCGTCATGGTTGCATCACTACCAAGAAAATGAACACTCCTGACCAACACGGCTCTTTTCAACTGATGAGGGGGTGCTTCTGCTAGAGGTGGATACAAGAAGTGTTCGCCAAGCTCGAAATTCTACACTCCGTGGGGACTAGTAAAATGACTGAATGGGGAGAGGAAGGGTGGGCAAAGCCTCAACACAGGTACAGTATCGGGCCATTTCCTGTTAGTTTAAGTTGTGCTCATTTCTAGGCATTTCAGAGGTAGTTTATTAATTGACTTTTTGGTCATAAAAATTGAAAGCAGTTTCATACATTCATAAACGGCCTCGTTCATCCAAAAATTGTTGTGCAAGATGAAATATTCCAGAATGCGAAGAAAGATACTCATTTCTGGCAACAGTAACGAAGGCAAGCATTGAACCCATAAAAAGCTGTTTATGTTCGATTTTTGAGCCCACACTACACACACTTACATCACACATCATGAGAAAGCTTGTGTAATTTTATATTAGGTATGATGTACCGTACAGCTCTGATATTGGACTGAATGAGATATAGGGACAAATCTTCCATTTTAGTCCAAAGCAAAGATCGTATAGTGCCGAAGGCGCAAGATGGATAACTCTGCCCAAAAGGTGTAATTACCATGGGTGCCATTTGAGCAAGCGATACGCCTGCATGGTTTGCAGTAATGCTTTGGCGCAGGCTCACTAGGTGCACGTGCCTGCCGCGGCGCATGCGCCTATGCAGTAATGTGCATTGCGCAGGCGTATCGCTTGCTCAACTTCCTATGCAATTACAACATTTTACATGTATTCCCGGTGAAGTTCTCCATCTTGCGCCGCTATGCGGCGCTATACGATCTTTGGTCCAAAGTATTAATATCTATGACAGAAGAAGCATCTACGGAAACAAGGTTTGGACCAAACTGGTCCTCACTGTTCTATAATAATCACAATCACCATTCTCAGCTAGCATAATGCACGGTAACGATGGGCAATATTGAATGAAAATATGCAGTTCTTGAATAGTGTTTCTGGGGAATGTGACAAGAAAGTAAACCTGTGTTGGTTACTGCAACTAGGCCTGTTTTATGAGCTAAATAAATGGGCAAATGGTTGTAAGATCACTCACTTTCACGGTAACTTTGGCGTGAAGCTGCAAAGTTTCACCGAGCCCATTTAGCAATTCGGGCCCTTTTCATCAAAGTAGTCATTTTGGGTCAAAGATATATTTTTCAATGGATGCCATTGGAAGTTTACTCACTCTA